GTAGTTAAGGGAGACATAAAGATGAAATAAGCATTAATGGCCTCACTATTTTGCAGCAAAAGTACTCCTACCTTTGGATCAGTAAGATTCTTATTTTCTCACTGATCATTTACTCGTCTACTTAGAAATAAACTGTGGTCTTCAGAACCTCCATTTTCTTTAAGTTCCTCCTTAAAGTGACACGAAGAATGAAACACTGTTACTTGCCTCTTCTTTTACTTCATCTAGTTCACCTATCTCCAAATCTGCTAACGGCATGGCAGTTAGTCGTGCTGATACGAAATATCAAATAACGTGGTTATAAACTGGGAGTGGGAGTTGTTTATTGGAATCCTGGAGAGTATTTTAAAGTCTCAGCAGTGAAGGTTCAGTGTTACATTCAGGATGGCTAAATCGTGCTTATCAATTAAAAGTAGGCTCTATTTGGATCATGCCTTTTCCGTCCGATTTTATAAGTTTTGAACGATTCCTTTAAAATTTAGGATCTACTCGTACCTTGATGCAATTCGCAATTGCTTACCACCAATCTGAACTAGTGGTTCTTTAATTCATTAGTTCAGCTTGATTAAATACTGTATTGTAACGTAAACGAGTGAAAAAATTTGACCAGAGAAAAGAAACGCACTCTCACTTCCGGTACATCTGTGCTAACTTGACGAAACCCTTAATTGCGGCTCCGTAGTGTTTACAGAACCCGGAATTTCTAGAGCACGAACGACCTTTTCAGGGTTCAGCTTTTAGTTGGGAAATAGAGGGACTTTTAGCTGAATTCCAATGAAAAAGTCGCATCACTGCATGAGACAGGTACATTAGTCAAATTTAGTTTACATCTAGAAATACTCTTTTAAGGTCATTTCAGCTAAAATTTTTGAACAAAGCACAGGAGTTAAGGTCCTTGACCCTATGGCCAAGGCATTTGCTGGAGGAAAAGTGCACACGTAGTGAAATGATAGGCATGAATTCGTTGATTTTGCACGGGAAGTTTGGGTATTTATAAGTATTTTTTCAGTTTGCTGCATTCACACACATCGCTTTAAATGTTTGTAAACATAATATGTGGATGGAACTGTTTGCGTGTGGTTAACACATTCGCTGCTAGGGTCTCTGGTGAAAATCCATCATCGTAGGATAGAGATTGCATTGGGATAATTTCACACCAAATGCTTGTAATTCGTACATTCTTTCGAAACCACTCTCTTCATACTTCACTCTTCCCTGATGACGTTGTTAAAATATCATTATGGAAGAAGGCTCATCATTGTCAAACGGAAGAGAAGAGATGCTGTAATTATAGATGGAATGCTATGTTGCTAGGATAGTGGTCGAAACGCCTAGAATGTAATTTCCGTGTAGTTGAACTTCTGGTCGGTACTAACAGCATTTTATCGTCCAGCTCCCCTTATTCTGGCTTTTTCCCCACCAATTTATCCAGTTACTCTTCTACTTTCCATAAGTTGTAAACAATCGAGAGACAGATTTGAAGGCGGCGCCATGAACATATTGAAGGCATATACTGTAAATTTTTTTGTAACCCTAAAATATCCCACTCCTCACAGAGACGAGGTGCATGGGGAGAGGTTTTGGCATGAATATTTACCGAGACAAATTACTGGGAAGGGGAGGATCAACTTTTCTCGTATAACTCAAAAACAAGGTGTATTTCTAAAGTTAATGTCATCTTGTGTCTCTATTGTTGTACAGATTGACCCCGTTTCCTCACTATTTCCACCAGTGCAGTGTGCCAAGTTGTCCACTGGGACATAAAAAGGCACACCATTATCGAAGAGAGAGACTTGTGGCAAAAAGACGGCTTTCAAAACGTGACAACTGGTATTGCAGACAAAATTGGCAAAAATAGTTGTTCTTTTTAGTATTTTACAGCTGATTTGTATTAATTTCTTACTTACGTTTTTGTTCAAGTCTTCTAAATCTTCCATTTGTATTTTTGTTAGAATTTTTTTGTGGCTTAGTCTTGAGGACTGGTGTGAACAACTATTCACTCAATGCTAAGCGAAAAAACTTGACATACCTTTAGGAAGTTTGCGTATAGGAGCTGAAAATAAGTTTTGCTACCTTTTGATAAGTGATAACGAAAGTTGTGCTTAAGAATAGATTAAATCCAAGCGCCTTCTTAAAAGAATGACTTCGAATTGAATGCTTTTTTATTCATTTTCTCCAGTGCAGTTAACATATAAATCTGCGCAGGTTCTTATGGCAGAGGTTTAAAAGTGTAGCAAACTTCTTAAAGGAATTTGTTCAATGAAGTACTTTTACTTATGCTTTATTATTACGTACCAAGAGGATATATGGTTGTGAATCGTGTCTCACGGTCACGGTCTCTCTCCGGAGTCCAAGAAGAAGCCTGGGACCAACCACCACCGCTTCTACTTCCATTTTAATTTTGAACTATCAGCTATCCTTGAGATGTAACTGTTGAATGCTAATGTCAAGAAAAGGCAAAAAACCATGTGAAGATTGCAGAGCCGTCGTCTAGTAAAAGAGGTTAAGATAGTATCTTCCTTCCTTTCTTTTGTCATAACTAAAGTAAAGGCTTGTGGCTTGCGTGAATAAGGAGAGAAATTTCTTTCGCTCAAATGACCAAACCTGTCTGTTTCTGATGGGAAAATTTGCCTTCACATATTCTGCTATCGAAGGAATTTTACGAAAGGTCTTAGAAGTAAGCTTTGCAACACATTTTAAATTGGCAAGCAGACAAACGCGTGGGCTAAACCAACACTTTGCGAGGGTTAGAAATGAGTAGAAGAAAGTAGTGAGCACAACAAAGCATACCGGATTGATATGGTGGAACATATGACTAACTTCGCTTTGTGAGGTGTGAATTCAAACGATTGCACGTAATTCGCAAGCTTCTGCAATCCAGCTGCACCAAAAACCACAAGAAGATGCTTCCGACAACCAGATGGAATAGCAAGTAGTGTCCGACCTCCAATTCACCTTTGGACTAAATGAAGCTCTATTTGATAGGTTAAAAAATCACTCAATTTGGTGATCGCAGTGGTTGAAACTTCCGTGAAATAGACAATCTCCCACTCACTGTCGAATGCACAGGTTAAACGATTGAGTTTTGTACAACCTCGTCTTGTTTGCCTCAGCAAAGGACTATTGTCATCTCTTGTGTACAAATAGGATGGACACTTGGTATCGAAAAGGATTTTTATTTTTTAAAGCACACTGGCTTTTAATCTGATTGACAAGTGAGGTTTCTTCTCAAGATACTATTTGCCAATGTAATATCATTCATATCCGTTTGAAGTTATCCCCTTTTCCGCAGTTAGGTAAAATAAATTTAATGCAGTCTGCTGGGATCTAATTCCCTGCATCTAGAAGGAGAGGGTGTTTATCAATTGGCAGCTTTTAGCTAGCTGGTGCTGAACTTACGAGTTGGCTAACTCATCTTCGAATGCGTATGCTGCATGTGTACTTAATTATATGATAAAGCCGTGAATTGCAAGTAGATGTGCATTCCTATTTGTGATTTGAAGTTGTTTTAAACAAAAACAAGCTATTTCAGCTATTTAACTATGCTGCGAATGAGTCCTACAATTCTTTGTGATTAAGGGGAAGCGAAAGTGCGTATGGTCATTTACATGCGTGATAGTATTTTGTTGCTTGAGAAGAAAGTCGAAGGTGATGGAAAAAGGAGACACAACAAAGGATTTGGTCTCTGTATGTCTTGCGATTCTTTCCTCTTGACAATTTTGCAGTAGAATGTGGAGAGTAGTGAAACTGATGTGCGAAAGTATCTCGTAGATAAGAACTTTTACTGCCGAACGTCTCGGTGGTCGCAGGGGGCATGCATTCCCCCAGTTGATATGTTGTTGAATCGCATATACTCACTGCCCTTGAAACCATGAAAAAGGTTAAGATGACGATTTGGAACACGGAGCATCTGATGGTCGCATCCATGATGAATAGGGGAATTAAAATGGGGAGGAACTTTCAAAACACAAGAAGAATAAGTAAGGACTCTACGAAAAAGACTGAGTTTCAAGCTTGGTCCTGCTTATGCCTTGATTCACTGCCATTCTGCTAAAGCACACCAAAGATCATGAGCAGCAGAAAAAGATATTTTCAATGCCTCCTCTTTTTAAGCTAGACTTGATTATTTTTGCAAAGTATTAAACACTGTGGCACAAAAATTTTCAGTAAATTTCAAAAAGGACTTGCTTTTGAAGATGAGGGTGTCTTAGGTATTTTCTTTGAAGTGATTGCAAGTTCAAAATTCGATAAAAACCAGTACCTAACAAGAGGAAGTACGCATGAAGAAGGTCAGCACCGAGGAGGTAACTGGTATTTCGCAGCGGCTGCTTTGCCGGACTAAATGGTGAGTGCTTCGATGAAGCCATAAGGATGATCGTTATGAGGTCACGCTAGAATAACCTGGAACTTAAAAAGGTCAATCAGTCATTTTATTTGGACTGAACAAAATTGAGACGAATGTAAATGACACAACCTACGTCATTTTTATTGATAATATAAATTATCTGATGGGATAAATCAGTAATTTCGCATATGAGACTGGTTATGAATCGGCAAGATATTTTTCCGAGGTTTCACTAAAAGTAAATGAAGTGGCCTTCCAACATCAAAACACCTTTTTGTGGATGGGACAATGGTTTTTTGCTAAACGCCTGTCACATTTTCTGATATCCACGTTCCTGTGAAATTATCCAGAACAAACTTCCATTGGATACCTATACTACATTAACTTTTTTATGTCCGATTGACTGAAGGAGAATTAATTTGGGTTTCAAGAGATCATTTTTGCGTGATTTGCTACTGACTTGAAATAAGTGGGCAATACGACAAGGCGTCTTTCATTAGCGAGGGAAGAGGTCTCCACAGGAGATAAAACTTTTCGTTGACGTAGCCACACCTGATGATTTAAAATTAAAATATTTTTCGCATGTTTGTTTCTTAAGCTAATATACTAAGGGGCTTAACAGCCAATTTGTTTTTGGTTCCTCATTGTTTAAAGCATGTTGCCAGGAAATCTTGGAGATTCCTCGATGAACCATGAGAGGACAAATGTACTTATTATGTACAGAAAAGTCACCGATATGAAGGCCCCAAGTTTAAGAGCGCGCCTAGTTAAGTGCACATCTGAACGAATACCCGAGTTTTTATGTATTTTAATATGGTAAATAATTTTTAAGCTAAAAAAGAAACCATTTCCTTTTTATGTAGATAGTAGGGTATTTCGGCCGAACCTAATTGCGAATTTTCGAGGGAGCAATATTTTTCTGTCGTAGCTAATCAACGAATGTCATTTAAGTAGCTAACCTACGGGAGAACTTTGACATCTGAATCACCTATAGGAGCTATCATACCGGAATGCTACTTGCCTCTGTAGATTTTATAACAGGATAATTTTCTACCTTAACCTGCATTCTCCCACAGCAAAGTTCGTCTGTTTTCCAAAACGTTACAGACAGGGCACATCTGGCCAAACGAATCACACCCTCCCCTTGTTTACTAATCATGATTTTTCGCAACATTCTACCCTGTGTATCAACATAACTGTAGACAAAATTTGCTTTTCGAGTAAAAATACGTCTTAGTTTGGTGATAATTATTAAGTTTGACATATATTTAAGAAATTAACAGATTTCGTTTCGTTCGCATTTAAGACTGACATCCGATTGGAAGATTGGTCCTTGGATTTCGAGCATTACCTCAATGATAATGAAATTCACCATTCTCTCGACCTATCATCATACGTTGACAGTCTTCCACTAATGGAAGCAGCCATCGATTGGCATCTTGCAGCCATTCCAGATCTTCCGCCCCTTCTGACCTTCATTCCAACCAATATGCTTGCGGCAACTGCTACTTCTGACGTCACAGAACCATATCAATCAAATTTGGCCAGTCAAAATGATTTTACCCCCCTGCATTTATTTCCCCTTTTATCTGAGGAGGTAGAAGGAGAAATACATTTTTCACCTTTTGCCAATTCTACCGCAACGCTTCTACAAGGTGAGGAGTGCGAGAGAGAAGAAAAGATCCGCAACTTTTCATCCTCCGATTCGAGTAAAACCTCAGATGCTTGTTTTATGTCGGCAGATGAAGGTGATTCATTCGCTGAGGAGCTGTTTTACGATCCTATGAAGGTGGAATCAATGGAGGCACATGATGAAAAGCCGGAAGTTATTTTAGGACTCACGAATAAGGGAGAAGTTACTCCAGAATTACGTCATATTTTAAATGAGGTTGAAACCTGTGCAAAGGAAGAAACGATCCTTTTCGACGACACCAAAGAATCCCAAAATGCTCTTTCCTTGAATGAAAAAAGGCAAGCCGGTGCCACAGAAATATCGAATGAATTTGATAGAACTTCTGAACCAGCGCTTTCAACGGAATTTTTCAACATGGTGGGCATTGATCAGAAGTCCGTTCTTCGATTCGGCGAAAAACATGAGGCTATGGCGTTGAATAAAGCTAATTCAGAAGAAAAATGGACCGAAGATGCCTCCGTAGCGGATGAAGATATGATAAAAGGAACTATTAAAGAGGCAGACGATTCTTCACATCAACCAAAGGAACATGGTGACGATGATAAGAGAAAGATTGCTTTGAAATTTGAGGCAAACCATTTCCTAGAGGGAACTCAAGAGTCTTCAGAAGATATGGGATTCGAAGAGAAACCGAGTCTATGGTTGAATGCCGGAAGGGAGCCGATAATCAGTACAAATCGTGTTGATGGAACCGAAATTGTTCTTTATTTTCAAGGCACCTCATTGGAAGACAAATCTATGGTACTTGATGAAAAGAAGCAAGCAGGTATATCTGAAATTTCTAGTGGATTTAATGAGGATGATATTTTTGCACATTCCGTCGACGTGTTCAAAGCGGGACTTTTTGAGTGCAGTCAGGTAGACGATAACACAAACCCGGTTGTGAACGATGAAGACTTAGTGTCTTCGGTAAAAGATCCATTTTCTGCCGATAGCCAGAAAGCAAGTATCCGTGACGTTGCTTCTGGATTTGATGAACAGTTGATTGAAGAAAGATCAAAAGAGGTTGTGGAAACATCTGAACAGCAAGGTGGTTTTAAGCTATTTTCAGAAGGAATCGCTGTTGAAATGAATTTTGAAACCGAACAGATCAATGAAAGCACTCATGAAACCTTTGAAAAAATGCATATTGAGTTATCAACACCCATGAATTTGAATGTTGAGAAAGAGCCGCTAAAGGATAGATTCCAGGCAAGTAAATTTGAAGTAGTTCCACATTTTCACGAAGTGTTGACTATACATGTCGGCAAACTATTAATCGAGGAACAAAGGCAAGCTGGATCATCAGAAATGTCCTGCACTTTCCATAAAGCCGATAGTTTGTCATCAGCCGAAGACTCTTTTCATCAAATCATAGTGGCAGGAAGTCAAAAGAACGAGGGCACTCATACAGGCACCCTTAGGACTGTTCAAGTTTCATCATTTGAAGTTTTTGCACTTCAGGAGTCTCTGATCAAGGATTTCCCTGAAAACACACTTACAATTGATGATGTCACCGCAGAAACCACGATGGATGAAATTGTGGAAGCATCCATAAAAAAAGAAAAGATCAAAAAAGAAGAGTTTCAAAACTTGAAATACGAGATGGAACAAATACATAAAACTGCTGTCGATTACTCGGAGGAAATAAATTTAAGTGAGAAACCCAGCCAAAATTTGATTACTCAAGCGGAACCACTGAAAGACAGAGTTCAGGTTGGTGAATCTGAATCTGTCCAGTCTTTTACTGATTCGTTATCTCCAAAAGACAGTGAACTTTTGCTAAACGCAAAGAAACAGGCTGGTTCTTCCGAAATATCCAGTTCTTTTGTTAAAAATGAAGAACCTGTAGCTTCCAAAGGCGTATCCAGTAAGGCGCTCCTGGGAAAAAATAGAACACATGGAGAAGGTAGATCAGTCCTTCTTAACACAGATGTGGTTCTAATTAGCGAAGACCCCTCGATAAAAGAGCAGCAGGGAGCTGGGTTGGCTGAAATAGCATCGGTGTTTGATGAGGTGGTTGTAGAGGAAAAATCCGCTGAATCATTGCTTCACCTGCTAGAAAACCAAGACCTTCTTCAAGAATCAAAATGTGGCAAACCACCGTTGAAATTCGGAACAGAGCAAACTAAAAAAGATGAGCTGGAGATGTCAGAAGAATTGCGTATGAAGGAGGAATTCGGTCAAACTATAGTTTCACATACAAAACCAATAATGGGCAAACTTTTCCCTGGAGGATCGGAATCTGTTTCGCATTTCCACGAAATTCCAGCTGAAAATGCAGCAATTTCGCTTGACGAAAAGGAGCAAGTTGGATCATTTGAAATGTCCAGCGCCTTCACCTGTAACGATGAAATTTTCCATTCCACCGAAACATTTGACGGACCCGTGACAGAAGGAAACAGAGCTGCTGTTTTCAGCTTAAAGATTTTGGATTTCAAGGCCATTGTTCCTTCTCAAAAAGAAAATACCGTTCAGGAAATTCAAGGTGGGGTATGGGTTAACCCTACACGGCAAGAAACAGTCTTGAGTACGGAATTGGAAGAATTGGAAGAGAATAATTTCGCAGACTTGGTGCCCCTTAAAGATAACCGGAAGGCGGATTTATCACAGATCATTGTAAACACAGATGGATTCCACGTCAAAAAATCGGATTTTGCGGATGGTGAAAATGTCAACTGTTCAAACCAAGTCATCATATCGGACGTTTCAATCGTCCATGAGAAATCAGTCGTGGGGGAGGGAGAACGGTCTACCGAATTTGAAGGTGAAAAGGTCTCCATCGACCTCCAATCTCCAACCGAAAACATTGAGCACTTTTGTAAGGAAGAGATTGCTACAGTTATTTTGCATCCAGGGACCCATTCAGCCGAGTATCATCTGCCACAGAATCTGGAATTCCACACTTTCGAACAGCCCTTTAATTTACTCGAGAAATACAGCGATTTTGAGGAACACGTAATTAAGGGAATGCAGCAGAGTTTTGACGGCAGAATGACTACTCTATCCACAGAAATTGTTGTTTCCGATGACGATCAATCCCAGGCCGAACAATGCACAATTCATGAACCCTCTACTGAAGGTTAGTTTTTTGTATCATAAGTGTAAATTCCTAGTGTGATATCTGATAGCACAAAAGTCTTTTCCCTGGACGATGGTGTTCTTGCGGACTGTAATGTGTGATTTACCATGGCTGTTCAGCAGTAGTACGATTAAGTCACTGAATACAGAGTTGTCAAGTTCTCCTTCCGCACGTGCTTGCTTAACTCATTAATTCAAATGCTTGAACACCGCTGAAATAATGGTTTAGCTAAACATTCCTACAAATCCATGTGATCATCGAAGTAGGTAGATTACTTCACTAGTTAGTTTTTAGTGAAGTTCAAAATCTGTCATACCAAATTCATAATCTATGACCGTCAACGTTTTTTGGTGTTTGAAGCTCTCTGTACTGCAGCATGAAGCATACGATATATTTACTGACACAAAGGTGCAATGTTTGCTACCAAGCCTTGAAAAAAGATGGGTCATCACAGCTCAGACGTTTTATTTTTGCTATTTGACGTCCGTTTTTGTCCACTTTTTGTTTTTCTTCTTCCAGATTAATTCGGTTCTTTTTAGCTAAATGTCACGCACGTTTAATTCTAGAGTTTTAAGTGATAAAATCAAGAGGTCACACTTGCGGGGCGTTGAAAAGCATTTTTAAGTATGAAGCGAATCCGAAAAAACAGAAATACGTAAGTGGCTGTCAAAAAATAACTACAGGCGGAAGGACAAGGCCAAAGGGTGTTTTTGCCTGACTGTTTAATGGAATTGGGCATTGTGGTCACCATACATCGAAAGGACGATGTATTAGTTAATTAATTAGTTCGTGACATTTTTGGGAATCTTCTCTCCACTGAAGTAATCTCAATAGCAATCTATCATCCTTCACTTTGGTCATAGTAGCAAGAAAAATCGAACTCTAGCTGCATTCGTTTTCCAAATACCCATTCCTATCTTCTTTTATCCTCCGTCTGCATATTTTGATTTTCTAAAGTCAAAAAAGGCGATATACACCAGCTAAAAAATATCATTAAGGGACTAAGGCTTGGTTAGCATCTCAGTGCGAGGTGGTCCAAAGGGTAGGTTTTGTGCTACTTGATACAAAGCCCTCCGTTGTATGAAAGAAATGAAACTTACCTCCAATTATTTTAAAAGTAGTAGAATATGTCCTTTGCACATTGATCACTTCTGTCTTATTGAACACATAGACCTCGGTCAGTGTTTTCTACCTTCGTCAGTGAGACCTAACACAGGAAATATTTGCGTCTCCAGTTTGCCACACAGACACACCCATAAACACAAGGTAAACATAGTCTTTTAGGAATGAAGTCAGTACTCAGTAAGTGGGCAAAGATGTTAGCTATACAACAGGTGGATGGTTTGCTGATACCCGGTTACAAGTTCATGGCTTGATTTTGGAAAAGCATAAGGTAAAGAGTGGAAAGGCCATTTCTTATCACAGGTCAACCATTGTGCATGCAGTTATAAATGCATGACGTGACCACACACGAGGAGGGGGTGGGGACTATTCTGAAAGACCTTGAAGCCTGTCGTCATCTATCAATGTATGCGAATGAAAATTATTTTCTTGACTTCATATGGCTTCTTCCTACGACTTCTCCGAGTGGCTCTTAACAAATTTGACCAAAACTTTTTTCAGCTTTGGAAACAGGTTTAAGTCTATTCATAAAGTAGGCCATTTCAAATCACATCCAGGTGGTTTAACTAACTCTTTTAGAATAAAAGGGTTGAAAATAGGAAAACAATGTCGTACCGATAGCTTGATACATAACAATGCTATAGAGCGTATGTATTTGAAGAAGGTTCCTACAAGATGCAAGTCATTGGGATGAGCCCTATTGAGAACCTCACGAGCTGTTTTGACTTCCCGATTGATAGAGGTGAATAAGTGGGGACGACTGATAATCAAATCGCGATGGAATGAAATTTTTAAGTCGGAAGACTCAAAAATTACAAATCTTCCATAAGACTTTATTTTTATGTCCTATTCCCACATCTTCTTCATCAGTTAATGATATTTAGGAATGAACTTTGCATTTTAAAAGATTGTTGGAATTGTGGAGCACAAACAAATACGACCGTCCATATTCTCAAATCTAAATTATATCACATGCTAGGTGGGAATATTTCCTCCGTTATAAAGTCTAAGATATCCACAAATTGTACACAAGGACCTAATATTTGCCTAGGTATAATTCCCAGTGATCCACCAAGTCGGGATCGGCAACCCTTCAAAGCAATAAATTTTAATTGCTTAACGAATGTTGCCTTTGGAAGCATTACACAATCACAGGCTTCCTATGATTGGTCAGGTGCAGCCAATCAGGAATTCAGCAATTTAGTGCTCTCAGCCAATTATATTAATGTCAGGGCAAGAAGACATCTGGACCAGCAATAGGTAAGGAAGGAGGGAAAGTCTACGTCAAGGCCGACAATCGTTAGACTGTTAAGTAAGCTATCTTTCATCTGATATTACTCTATCCTGTATCATAGCCTGTTTTCAGCACGATAATTTTTTGTGTTTCCTTTATGATCAAATTTGTTTAAGGAATCCAAATGCCCAAAGTTCGTTTGGACCTTGGTTATAGATTTGACAAATAATCTTTAATCTATAGTTGCGAAACGAAGATTGGTGTTTCCAAAACCCGAATGCAAAAAGAAATGACTTTGACAATTTTTATGACGTGCTTTGGCAGATTCTCATTTCTTCAGTTTTTCCTGTACAATTCCAGCTTTACTTTGGGTCGGTTGTAACAAAATTGTATTTTCTTTATTATTTGTCCCCTACTTGCGCTCGTTTTTTGGCAAAAAGTGAACGAACGTCTTTTTTAAAATAAAGTGAATTCATATCATGAAGAAGGATTCGTGAAGCTTTAATTTTTATGTCGCTATTGCTCATTCCGATAAAAATGGGATATACCCATGGTAGTTCAGGTAAGAAAATAGAAATGAAGGTATGGTTTGCTCTGCTAGCTCAATATCACATTAAATTCATAAACGTGAGCTAGTTAAGACCTTGATTTACACTGAAAGGGGTAGAATTTGCACGAATCCCATTCCCACCGCACAGCAGTGCTTACGTGACACGTTTGTCAGGACGATTGATTGCATAAGCGCCTCGTTATTTTGCAAAAACTGTTTTTCTTGCTTAACACATGAAAACAAAGACAAGCACCACAAAAACCTACATGGATGTGCATCTGATATAGTAGACAATTAGGGAAAGTTGGAGCGTTGTTGTGGGCAAATGTATTATATGTTTTGCACAAACCATTCATAACAAAGCAATCCTCATTTCAATTAGAAGTTTAATTTTGCTATTTGAGAATGACAAAGTGGCTTTTTCCTTATGTTTGGTTAAAGATAATGAAAATGTGAGGTGTTATGCTTACAAAGTGACTTTGAATGCATATAAAAGGATTGTCCCCCTTTTTAAATTTAAGGGTAGTGCTCCACTGTTAGTTTTTATGCATGTAAATTGGAGAAATCACTTTTACATGTTAAACTTCTGTCGCATATGAAGAAGAAACCTACATGACTGAGTTTATTTTTGGTTTGCAAACTCTCAAGTCAGACAGTTTGGCGCATTTTACGAAGAGTTAAACTTCACATATGTTCTTGTCTGTCTGTTGCCTGTACTTGATTTTGCTATTGCCACTGCTATATTCTGTCGAAAGTGCTGTCAACTTTGCTATGGGAGCTATGGTTTCTAGCTTTCTTGATGACCGGTTTTCTCTTTCATTAGTAATACATTCGGTACTTTGTTTAGATGATTATTACTCTTCAAATTCTCTGGTTTATTTACAAATTAGTAAAAGTGGGAAGTCGCCGGTTAATCAATCTGGAGTACTACGAGTCCCCGATTTGAAGATGAAATGACAAAAATTACTTACTTTTCTCCAAATTTGCTAATGGGATGAATAACAAAATGTTTTTCCGCCTAATTGATTTCTTGGTTTTATTTTGGTTTAGAGACAAGTTAAATTGGCAAATTTAAACGTCTGGTAAATTTTCTTACTGCAAGGTGTTTACATCCAAAATATATTTAATATTTACAGGTGTAACTATTTGTACAAGCAAAAAGCAATCATTTAAATATAATAATTAATGATAGGCGACGAAGATTCTACGAAATTCTCCAATATTTTGTACTAAATTTTTGGATAATTGACTTCTAAATGGTTTCATGCTATATCCAATTTGCTATTTGAGATTATTTTCACGTAAAGTTCGCTTTTGAACCCTCCACTTTTAACAAGTCTGGTTTGTTTGGAAGCAGAGTAGCCTCTCCTTCTCCGCTTACCAAATGTTAGAGTAATAAGGTAGATTTTAATCTCCACCGTGCCAAATCTGGGAATGAATGCCTGACCCGGTGAGGTCATTGCCTAGGGTGGAAAAAGCAGTGACCTTTAAACGATTTTACCCTCACTTCATTTAGTATTAACCCATAAAAGGTCTCAGAAGGCATTCCTAGCATTCGCTGCACTGCAAATCAAAGAAGTCGTGTATTTTAAAATTAAATTGAAAATTCTGAGAAGCCTACTTGGACTATTTAGAATTAAAAGATGGTTTTAATCATCCAAGCCGCAGTACAAACCATGTCGGAAGAAAAATCATGTTTTAATGTATTAAACTGAAGTATTTTACCATTTTTTTATTCAAGATAATTATGCCTGCACTTTAGTCTCCGCAAGCTGTACTTCCACTCTGTGGCATGGCCTTTTGGGACGGGCTTATAGTCTGCCAGCTCTTCTGTACCACTTTGAATTATTACGACTTTGTCGAAAAAACCCTGGATACTATACTTGAAAATTAGGTGGTCATAATTTGACTAATCTTGCTAAATTTTATTACCTAACATTGCCCTTGTGCGGGGAAGCTCTTTCAACGTAGAGCTGCAAACTTCATTGCGCATTTCCATTTAATCAAACCACCAATTAGCAAAAAGAAAATTTGCTAGTGCGAAAATGTTGATTTATGATACCCTCACAGGTGCGTATAGCCTGGAATTTCAACTTCCA